CCCCGAAATGATCTCAAACTCATAGAAAACTTGCAAATACAATACAAATAACTTTTTCTCATGAATTATTTGAAAGTTGCCAACCTGATGCCTACCACCCCAGTCTTCCTACAAGCAAGGACATTCTTCCACATAACCCCAACGCTACCGTCCAAATCAGGAAATGAACAGTGATAATGTTACTGCCACGTGATCCTCAGCCCCCATCACGCGGTTCCCATCATGTCCTTTACAGCAAAAAGATCCAGTTGAAGATCAAGAGTTGCATTTAGTTGTCATGTCTCTTTAATCTACTTCAGTCATGAACAGTTGCTCAGTCGTTCCTTGGATTTCATAGCATTGGTACTTCTGAAGAGCGGGCCAGTCGTTTTGTAGAATATCCCTCAATTCGATTTTCTCTGACACTTCCTTGTAGTTGGGTTCAGGTGATGCCCCTTGGGCAGGACTATCAGAGGCGATGCTGGGCCTTCCTGTTGCATTTGGTCAGATGGCACCTGATTTTGTTTTGTCCCATTACTGGTGATGCTCACCAAGGTCACTTGATTAAGGTATTTGCCAGGCTTCTCCACTATAACAGTATTTCCCCCCCTTTGTAATTAATGACTGTTTTGGGGGGAAGTACTCTGAGACTTGTAAATATCCTGTTCCTCATCAAGCTTTCAATTATTTTACGGGTTCATGGTTTTCTATTTTAATAAATGGGTTATAATCTGTTACTTTCATTATTTATTTGATGCTGAGGTTGTTCCAGATTTGGCCAGGAGAATCCCCTTTGGGCTGGCCTCTGCCCCCTCCCCAATGCTGCCATCATTCTTTGAGGATTCTAGAACAGTAGGAAGCTCCAGGCTCGTCTTGTACTTTCCTATCACCAGCCTGGAATCAGCCATTCTTCAGGGTGGGCTCAGTGCTTTGTTGTTGGGCTAATTGTGTGTGGGATCAATGAATGCTTGTGCATATGTGGGTCTGTGTGTATCTCACAGAACGTGTCCACATTCTTTTCTGATGCTCTAATGCTTTGGATCATATACTTTTCTGTTCCCTACGGACCATAGAAATTCTAGAAGAGAGATCATTTAGTAGAACTCTTGTTTTGTAAATGAGAAAACTAGCTCAGAAAGGTGGTCTGGCTTGTTCAAGGAGGCGTATCTAGCTGGTAGCAAAACTAGAGTCAAAACCCAAAATCTCAGCTCCTTTCCTAAAACTCCAACCACTCATCACACAACTTTCTTCATCACTAGCAAGTACAGATATTTTTATTATAACTACTAATTGAGTTAGTGGGGATGGGGAGTGGGTGTGTAGAATTAAAGCTAGTAATGAATTACAGCTTATTTCAGAGCAAAAAAGGGAAAATGTACAATTTTGATTTAAAGTATAAAAGTTTAAAGCATAAAACTGGTATCTGTATAAGGAATTAAGCAATTTACAAATAATTTGTTTAAGATCTTTTCTAGAACACAATGATAAGAAAATTCTTTGTTTCAAAAGACTTAAGAGATTCTTATGTTAAGAATTAGGGTGCCCAGAGAGGTACAGAAAATTCGATCAAGAACTAGGATTTGGCTCCAATTTCGGTTTCTTATTGTCTATCATTAAATCACTTAGTTTATTTGTTACTGCTCCTTTAAAAAACACAAAGGTGGTGATTTTAATTTAGAGATAAAGAATCTATAGGATTATAGTAGAGAGTAAATAAAGAAATGTCTGAACTGTGTAAATGCCCAGACCTGTCCGCATTATGGGTCTTCACTGTGTTTGTACAGTGGCTTTGGCATCAGGGGAAGCTCACTGACTTTCACCGAATGAAGTTTTTAATTGCATAAAATAAAATACATAGCTTACCAAGGGAAAAGTTGAAATGTAGTTATTAAAATACTTAAAGAACAAATGTGTGATATTGTAATGAATATATGCTTTTTAAATTAGTGCTTAAATAATAAGATCCAGTGTTGGGACTAATAACTGTGGTGATTTCATAGTAGTTGTCTTAGTCTACTTGGGCTGCCATAACAAAATACCATAAACTGGATGGCTTAAACAACAGAAATTTACTTCTCACAGTTCTGGAGGCTGGAAGTCCAAGATCAGGGAACCAGCATGGTCAGGTTCTGGTGAGGACTCTCCTCCTGGCTTGCAGAAGGCTGCCTTCTTGCATCCTCACATGGCCTTTCCCAGGTTTTTGCACATAAAGAGGGAGAGGAGAGAGAGAAAGACATAGAGGAGAGAGAGAGAGATAGCTTCCTCTTCTTATAAGGCCACCAGTCTTACCCTTTATGACTTCATTTAACCTTAGTAACTTCCTATAAGCCCATTTTCTTTAAGGATTAGGGCTTCAACATATGAATTTTGGAGAAACACAGTACAGTCCATAGCATAGTAATGGGCATAAATGATATTTCAGAACATCTTCAACAAACTATAATATGATATGAAAATAGCTGTGAACTATTGGTGACAAAGTCACAGGCATTGCTGCTAGTGGGTTTATTGCCTACATTCATCATGGAAGGAAATGCTTGACTTTAGGTAGAGGTTAGTGAAAATAAAGATATGATATTTTTCCCATCCAACTTCACAGCCACCTTGAACTTCTTTACAAGGACCCCAGGCTAAGAATCCCTGAAACATGCAAGTAAGATGTTCTTGTTTTGAGCAAACAAGGGGCATAACCCCAGAATGGTGGGAACAGATTCTGAAATCATCTGATTCTGCCCATTGCCCATTACCTGGGAGCAGTAAGTGTGTGGAGTTGAAAAGAGACATCATCTGCTCTTGGCTGGCTTTCTGGTATTATGGAATATGTCTAGTATTGGGATGTGTTTGTGTTGCAGACAGCAGTCACCTAAATGCTACACAAAATGATTCCTGGACCTCTGAGAACTTCTGGTTTGACCCTTCTGTGAAAGACCAACCAGACACTGAGACAGAGGATGATGGACTCCGGAAATCCCTGGATAGATTCTATGAAATGTTTGGCCACCCACAGCCAGCCTCTGGAAATACACTCTCCACATCTGTCTTGCAGTGCCTGTCTCAGAAAATCAATGAACTGAAGGGCCAGGAGAGCCAAAGGTACGCCCTCTGCAGTTTTCAAATGGCCCGGGTCATTTTCAACCGGGACGGCTTTGCAGGGCTACGGAGGCATTCCCGGGCCGCCCGCTTCTACCCCCTGGGAGAGGGAAGTCAGTCTCTGGATGACGAAAAGCCAACCCCAGGGCTTTCCAAAGATATTATTCATTTCCTCTTGCAGCAGAATGTGATGGAAGACTCATAACTAGAGCTGGTGGTGAAAGCAGGCCGATGGATGCGGAGGGCAGCCCCGTGGCCAACGCTGTTAGCGCACCCCAGGTCCCCTCAGGTCTTTCTCGCCAGCTCTGTGTGCCCAGCCCCGGCTAAGTGCTCTGCAGTCACCAGCTGGCATCTGCGATCAAGCACTGGAGACTGTTCAGCCCATACACAGAGCCACTGGTGTCTGGGAATCTTGCAGCCCCCAAGGCCACACTCCCTCCTACCTTTCCCCGAGGCCAGGGCTAGTGACTGACTGGTTTGGGAGTTCAAAAGCCCAGCTTTCTCGTCTCAAAGAAAGAGATGCTCTGAGGCATATTTACTCTCCAGAGCTCCTCTGAAGCAGGCCAATGCTGTCCTTCTGGTCACTCGCTCATCGGTGTCGCCTAGGAGCCTTTCCTTAACGCATCTCTTGTACCTGATTCCGTGACTCGGGGTCTGCTTCTGGGAGAACCTGACCTAAGGGAACAGGCTTCCATCAGATGATTTTTTTGAAGGGAATAAAGTTCTGTGCTGAATCAAGTACAAGAAGCATACCCGGTTGTAAAACTGCGACCACGTGATTGAGAACGTAAGTCCCAGAATAATACAAAGATTTAAATATGGTTTCAAAAAAGCGCATCGCATCTTAGTCAGACCCTTGCCTCTCCAAATCCAGAATTGCCTATTTCATAATACTAACTGGGAGTGGAAGGAACATTGGCGGCTTCTAGAATAACAGCCGAGGTGCGCAAATTAAGGAAAAAATAAAAGAAAGTCTCTTTGTCTCCACCAGATTGCAAATGTGAAGGGTCAGGAGAAAACAAGCATGTTCCACTCACCCCAGTCTGTGCAAGCTCAGCTATGACAGGCTAGGCGACGCCTGTGGCCTTGTCAGTTCGCGGTGGAAGAGAGGGAGGAATCCCTTGCCCAGGTGGACTCCTTTCTCTGTTGTTTGTGCCTTCTGCCTGCCTGCTGCCAGCACCCTCTGTCGCCCTCTGAACGGTTGGGCCCCTCACCCTTGCCCTGTCCTGACTTCACCAGGGAGCAGCTTTACCTTTTATTTTTTTAGATTATTTTTAAAATGTACTTCTTAGTTATAGTACATACAATATTATATTAGTTTCAGGTGTTCCACACAGTGATTGATGTTTATGTACCTTATGAAGTGATCCCCCAATAAGTGTGGTACCCATCTGACATCATACAGTGTTACTGACTATATTCCTTGTAGCTTTAAATCTCCGGTGCAGGCTTGTGCTGTCAGATGATCCCCATTTGAGACTCAGTTGGTAGATGACATCACCGGGCACGAAGCTCCCTGAAACTGTCATTGGAGGCCTCACACTAATCCCTAACTTGACAGTTCTCCAAACAAATTACATTGACATAAAATGGTTATATCACTTGTTTGGGGGGAGGGGGGAGGGCGGGGACAAGAAGAGAAGCTGGCAACACTGCAATTAGATTTGAGAAACTTCAGGTGAAATTTCATTGGCATAAGACCCCCTGAGCTTTCTAGAAACCAGATTATGCAAGTAGATCAGCCTAACCATGTACATTCAGAGTGAATGTGTCCTCGCAGGCAGGTTTCTCAGGGACTCTTGGATGGAGAGAGGTTTTAAAGGTGAGGAATTACATACTAAGGCTTCCAGTTCTGGGAAGATCAGATGTAAGACGTGCAGAGGCACCACTGGAAGGAGGCCTGAATGGTGGGAAATGAACAGGCCTCTGAGAGACACTTGAGAAAGCCAGCCTCCAGACTTCCCTCTGACCAGCAATCTTCCTCCATGGACCTCTCCTATTCAGTGCCCCCAAATAGTGATGAAACCAGTGGGACTTATAATTGGAAATCTACACGTTGGATTTTAAGGTCACTCATTTTGTTGTTTTTTTAACGTGAAGCAAATTAATAGATGCCCTTGAATAATGCTGTAGTTCTTAGTATTATGCAGTCACTGAAATATTGGAGATTAGTTTCCATGGCTACCAACAGAACGAAACTGGCTTACTTTAGACTGTTTTTAAAGGACAAAACACACAAGCTATTTGAATCTCCATGCCCGGAAGCAGTAGCTTCTATTTGGCCGGGAGATTTTAGTATCAATAATTTTGTAAACTTTATTAGCATCGGTGCTGTGGGCTCTCCGCCAGTGGTTAGACTCTGAAAGCAGAGAATTTACAAGTCTAAATGCCAGAATCACCTGATGGTAAAAAAGGAGTGGGGCCTCGTCTTGTTTGTGTCTCAGTAAGTGCTTGTGACAGGTCAGTACAAGATATTTGATTCCCTGCAGTCTTGTGTCTTAATTTGATCTTCATGGGGTCGGGCTGGCATGTTCCATTTATCTCTGTTTACCTGTAATAAAGACTAAGCGGTAAGGACATTGAGGCTCTGGCCTTTGGCATTATTGTCTAATTCTGGCCTACAGATCACTCACTGACCTATTATCATCCTATGAAGGTTCTGACTGGCCTATGATACCACCTGTGGCCCTTTCGGAGGTCTTGGGGAAGGTGGATTTGCTTGTAGGAACATCAGAACTCAAAAGGAGAGAACTGCGCCATGCTTGACGTTTGTGTATCACTCACTTCATTAGTCTCTTTGCGTGGCCTACGTGAGGGCACATGCAATAGATCTTATTAACGCAAAATGACACAATGATACTTTCAAAACTTTAAAGCTTACCTTGGAAACTTTTTAATGGATTATAATAATCATGCAGAAAGTGTTTACAATTAAACATCTTGATGATTGTCATAAAGGGAATCCACCTGTGCAATCAACAGATATGAGCAACCAGCCCAAGCAGCCCCCATCTGAGCGGAGATTTTCATCTGGAAAACTGATGAGACTGGTTTGCTCAGACCAGTGTTTCTCAAACTGCTGCTAGTACACAAAATAATGTACATGGACAATGTTTATTTTCATTGTTATCTATTCAGTTTAATATATTAGAAAAATATAACTACTATGTCTAATCAGTGCTTTTACAGATGTTATGAAGATAAGCCTAATATAAGTATTTAAAATATAAAAGTGAATTGAGTTATTGAAAAAGCTAAATTAATAATAACTCAGGTGACATATAGATGTGTCAAGAATTATAAAAGCGGTATACTGGAGATAACTGAAATTCGGAATGCAATGGGATGGATAGCTGTTCTGTTTGCAGTCTCCCACCATCTCCCCCGGAATACTGTGGGACACTTCCATCAGGTGAACCCACGTCTACCTTGGCCTCCCTTTACCTTGCAGCCATAGTGCAAATCCTTTTAAAAAGCAAAACAGGCATAAATGGCTGGAAATTGAAGAGCAGGGGCTAGCCTTATCGAATATGAAAACATTTTAACTCTACAGCAATTAAAGCAGCAATAAAACAGAAGTAAACAAATCAAAGAAAAAGAGTTCAGTCCATGAATAGATATGAGTTCATGATGAAGGTAGCATTTCAGATGCATAATGAAAATGCGAAGTTTTTAGCAAATGGTATTAAAGTAACTGGCTTCCCACACTGGAGGAGGAGAGTGAAAAAGCCCGATTCCTCACTTGTCTCCTGATATCAAAATGAATTCTAGATGCTCTGGGGTAGGGCCTGAGTGGGCCCTTCACACCGGGTGGTCCGAGAAAGAAGTGGCACTTGAGCTGAGAACTGCAGGATGCACAAGAACCAGCTGCACAAAGGCCGGAGCATCCAGAAGAGGAATGAGCATGTGTAAAATCAGTGCGAAACTCAGCCTGAATGAGCTCAAACTGCCTGGACAGAGCGAAGCCCATGTTTGGAGCACAGCACGCAGGGGGCAGAGCAGTAGATGAGTTTCAGAAACAGGCTTGGGCCTTTTAAGCCAAGGTGAGGAATTTGAGTTTTACTCTAATGACAGTGGGAAATGATTTCTGGATTTTAAGCAAGAGGATAAGAAGATATTCATAGAAATTTAGTACATGTTAAAGGCAACATTTCAGGACACTCGTAAAGGCTGAATTCCTAGATATTCAATAAACAATGAGATCCCTACCTCACACAATACACAAAAACAGATTCCAGGTGGATTGAAGATCTGAATGTAAAAAACGAGACTATAAAAGTTGCAGGTGACACTACTGGTGTTTTTATAATCCTTTCCTCTCTCTATTCCCATCCTCTCAGGTCACTTGGCAACGGCTGCCTCCCTCTACTTCCTTCTCCAGGGGACATCGTTTTCCCTGTGCGTCAGAGAGCTCAATGTTCGCGACCAGGTCACATTCAGAGGAAGACCATCCTATGGTGATCCGACTGACAGCCCTTTGGGAGAAATGGTTCTTTCATCCAAGAGGCTTATGGACCAGGCTCAGGCCTGTCCACCGGATTGCAACCCACTGGCCTTATTCTCTCATTGCATTTTGAGAAACACTGGTCTGAGCAAACCATTCTTACCTCTGCCGTTTTCTTTCTCTTGCCACTGCTGTCGCCTGCTCCAAGCGTTCATCTCCCGAAAGCCCTCCTCAAGGTTCCACCGCTCCCAGCCTCTCTCGCATTGTTGCTACCACATTGGTCTTCCTAAATCCAGTCAGTACTGGGTCCCATCCGCCCCCCACAGAAATGTCCCAAGCTCCTTAACACCCACAGGGTAAAGCGCCAGCCCAGGTCCGCTCTATTCTAACCACTCTCTCCTCAGTCCTAGAACCTTGTATCCAAGCTCTAAGCCTCCAAAACCTTCCATCCTTTCTCCAGCCCCACAGCCCTACTCAACTACTCATGTATGCTTTAATCCTACCCAGCAGGGCCATCCTCTCAGTATTAACACATGTCCACCTTCCTTCCCCAAGAGGCAGCTTACCTTACCCAGGCTAGGCACAGCACAGTGCTGGGTAAACGCTGATCATGAGCTTGGTCTGTGGTCATGTCTCCTGTTCAGCCTCCTGGTGGAGCCCGCTTGACAAGTTCTTTTTCTTTCCTGTAACTGAAACCACAAATTTTAAATCAGGAGCAAGGGGCAGTGAGTGGGAGGTGGGTTTGTATGTCACGGCAAAAGAAAGAGTTCAACTGTAGGTGTCAGAGGTGACAACACTCCCCATTAACAAGTGGGATGTTCAATGAGGCTCATATAATCCCTCGGGGCGTCATTTCCTTCTGTAAAATGAGGACATTAGCAAAGCTCCAAGTCCTCAGGCTCAGTCATTCTGGGCAAATCTCCGTGAGGGCGGATTCAGGAAACTGAGTTTCCAATTGATTGAGCTGTGTGGCGTTATTGCAGGGAGAATTAAACTATTGTTCATCACAATTCATTTCCTGAGTTTAGCCTCTCAGCCAATGTTTATTAAGCACCACTTACTCTGCAGTACCCTGGATTAAGTGCTGTGGAGACACAGAAGTGGTATCTCACAGGATCCTTGGCCTCAGAGAGTTTATTATATAATCAGAATTTATTATATAATAAAAGCTCACCACGATCATGATCCAGCAAATTACTTTCTGTTTGTTTACCTAAGACTTCTGTCAAGTTTTACTTGAACCATTACATAAAATCGCTGTGTGAACTGTGTATTCTATGTGTCATTTCTACATTATTTGAAACACACACACACACATATATATGCACTTTATGTTTAGATATAAATATATGCATTGAAAATGTATGTATTTAGAATATCTCCATTGACAGGCTGAGTTTTTTTAACTTTTTAATAAACCAAAGGATGTGGGTTTTAAAACTTGTGTAAAAGTAGAGAATCGTGCTAGCTGCCCATTACCTAGCTTCAACAGCCATCAGCTTTGCCACCCTTTCTTATCCTTCCCCTCACTCCCCTTTTTGTGTGTGTGCTAAAGCATTGCTCCTTCAGTTATCAATAGCAAAGGGCCCTTATTTCATTTCCAATCAGTTATGGACCAACGCCAGCACACAGCTCGTGCCATGCCACCCACAACTTACCAGCGAGTTCAGCAACGCCCAGGGAATCAATGGCAAATATATGTGGGACTTGCTTTGAAATACAATAACAAATCAGATTGATTGCTGGGCGGATAGATGGTAGACAGACAAGAAATAAACAAGTACAGTAGATGCTGATGGTAAAATCTGGTGGGTACATGGGTCTTATTCATAAATTTTTATCAAGTTTTCAGCATGTTTGAAATTTTTCATAAAATGTTTCATAAAATATATGTAGGATATAGTTTCAGTGCATTAAATATCTACCCACATACATTTATAACTTGAAATTTTCAACTACCACAAACTTTTCTAAGACAATCCCCTGTCAGGGTGCTTGCAGGAGGCAACTGATCGATGTTTCTCTCTCACATCAGTGTTTCTCTGTCTCTCCCTTTCTCTTCCTCTCTCTCTCTCTCAAATCAGTGAAAGTGTATCCCCAGGTGAGGATTTTTAAAAAAATTGTTTGTTACATCAGAATGAATAGTTCATTTAAATCTAAAATTAATATTTAATTTTAATGCTCCCCTCCTCTGGCCACACACAAAAATGTAAGTGGAACAGAGACCGACCATTGTTGATCGCACTCCCTGAAGTGTAAGAGGGAGCTTTTTGCGGGCTTTGTCCTGGTTTAAAGGACATGGACTGAGGGAGCGGTTAAGCAGGTGCCTGAGGAGTTCCATTCACGCCGCCTTTGCTGGCCGGCCTCCCAGAGCCAGAGGGCATCTGGTGCAGGCACATAATCTCTGATATGGTGATAAAGAGTAATTTCTTCTCAGGGAAACAATCGCTGTACTTTGAGAACTTGTGGTTGGATCACATCTTGTTCCATCTGAGCTGGTCTGGGCTGGAAAACATTCGGTTGACACGTGGGAAGCCACAGCTGCTGCGATTTTGCCCCGGGCTCCTTGGGCCCAGAGTAGTTTAAAAGACCTGATTCCAGACCAAACAGCAGCTCGGCTGCCACATTCGTGGAAGCCGCCTCGGACATACGAGCTGACCTGTCGGCCAAGACCAAGGTACAGTGATGACTCTTGATGAAACTGAGAACGCGGGGGATGAGAGAAAAGAGCAAATTCCTGCGCTGCTTTAGCCTGTGACATTTACTGGATAACTTCGCTTCCCTGGAGGAACCGTGCCTTTTCCATACCACTATGTTTCCTCCAGGAATAAGACTGGCCCCAGGCAAAGTTTCAAAACAGACTCTCACTCGCCCTTTTATAATCCTTGTTCATTGCAGTATTTCTAAATTCTCAAAAAATATGAATCTTTGGGACTTGGAAGTGAAACATCAGAAATTCTTTACGCATTACTATGGGCTTATTAAAATATTTCAATAAGTAAGAAATACACAGTTTAGTAGTATTTATAAAGAACTGTAGCCTAGAGCAAATATCCAAACATTGTAAAATTCCGGCGAGCGAGAATAATCTAACGTTCAAATCTAACCCAGCAAGTAAGCATTACAAATTTGAAATGTGATTTTTTTTATCACAATTCAAAATCACCCATTAATGAACTTATTTTGCTTCGAAAAGTTATTTCTTGGAACGCCACGCTTAGGATCCGCATAAAGCATGTCATAAAGAGCATAAAGTCACTGGTATTTATTTCGTTTGCGAGAGTGCCTCACAGTAAGTAAACAGGACCCTGAACACATCCTTCCGATGCGGCAACAGCTACAAGCCACGCAGACCAACCGCACTGTGACGTCCATGCGGCCTGCTCCTGCCCTGCTCCCGGGGACCTCCCCTAAACCCTCCGCCCCGCCTCAGCATTTCCCGATCTTGCTTATCAGCGGGTCCCTTTAAAGCAGCCGGGTTTCTCTGTTGATTGTTAAGCTTTCATTCTCACAGGGGAATCATAATACCTTTTCCTGTTGTCCCAGTTTCTCAACTAATTGGTCTTGGAATTTGAGATTTGGGAAGCATATAAATCTTCCAAGAAGTGCTGGGAAGGGATTCCCTTATGGAAACTCTGCAGCTGGAGCTGCTTATCCCCTGGCCTTCTCTCTAACTACCCAAAGCCCCTTTCCACCTGGTCCCACCCGGCCTGCCCTTCCCCTACTTCATTTAAGTTTCAAAGAAACACAGTCCCCACCGGCAAAGCTCCAGTTCTCTCTGGGTTGACTTTAGGTTCGAGGAGGAAAGCTATCGAATTGAACTCTTTCATCCTGAGTGTGAGGAACTACGTCTCCCATGGGGATTAGAAGCCTAATCAAGACAATGGGAGCATTTCTGCGAGGGTGGAAAAAAGAGGCCAAGGCATTCCTTCCAGAGAAGCAAATGCTTCCAAGGGTCAACGGGATAAACTGTGAGAACGGGGCTAGATGTTAAGACTATAAAACTGGTGGTGACTGAGTGTGGCCAAACAGGAGCGTGCCAGCCTCAACTAAAGGCATTTAAATTCACACGTTTAAAACAACCAAGCCGTACAAGCCAAACATAACCTACCTGAGCGCCAGGCCTGGCCAGTTTGCAGGGATCTCCGCAGGGATGCTCCCGCGGGGCCAGTCTGCTTGGGGCCTGCGGTACCACTTTGCCTCTTGGGTCACACTCCTGCAAAGGTACGTTTTCCTCTTTCCTAAGTTAGCTGTGAATTCTGCCTCCACTATACTTCTGGGGAGAAAGTACCAAATCCGGTATGTTTTCCAGTATCTCTCTTCCTACCTGCTAGAAATGTCAGGTTTGTCTGCCGAAAGACAAAAATATTTGAGTTGAGACTGGCTCATCCATTGGTGATTTACAGTTTAAGCAGTACCATCTTTATCTGGCAGTATTTTATTAGTTGGTGTTCTTTTCTCAGCTTTGTGAGTGAATGTAAAAGAAAGGAAAGGCAGCTAGGGGGGAAGAAAGACACAGAAAGCAATCCCTTAATAAAACTTCTGAGAAGTGCCCCACTTACATTTATGTCTTTGTTACCCACATCAAAAATATGGGCAATTACATCTTGGGAGGTTTCAGACTATGCATATTTACTTAACAATAATGGCTCCTCCAGGACCATTATGAATTATTGGGAAATAAAATATTCATAGTGTAAAACTGAAATTAGCCTACATGGAGTTTTCCTGGAGTTTACATCTACAGAATACTTTTTTGTTGAGGAGAGGCCTGCCTGGAAGTAGTTATGCTCTAATGTTCACCATAAATAATTAAAAATTCAGCAGCAGCAGCGGCAGAGTACCTCCTCTCAGAGAAAAGGGGCCTAAGGTCCACCAGATCTCTCGGAATCACAGAGGAAGAACCAAGTTCCATTTCATGAGTCCTGAGGATAAAGACACAGAGAAAGGCCAGGGGAGTTCAGCAGGCAGAACACAGGAGGGAGACTTCAAAACGACCAGCACGGGACTGCTTCTGATTCACAGTATCAGCCCTGTTGGCCTGAACGTGCTGTGATTTCAAGGTCATGACCACTGTTTCCGGCTTGGTGCTAGATATTCCACAAATTGAAACACGTATTTTGGAATGAGACAACCCCACTTTTTATGATCTGTTCTCTTGGGGCCACTCACTTGGCAGAGTTAGAAAGAAGTATCATGAACCAGTACAGAGCTCCCTACAAACTCCCTCCAAATAAATTCTTTCTTTCACTCTTTGCCTTACACAGATGTGAGGGAGAGCCACTTGCCAGTTCAGCCCCATGTTAGTAAGGCTCGTAGAGACTGACTCTTCTGTTTGGAACAGGTGGGCACTTAAAACCACGTTCTCTAGCTCTGAAGCCTCAGCGAAATATCAGACATAATAAGAAAAATTCTATTTAACAGCCTGCTATAGGTTTGTGAATCTATGAGTCATAGTCCAGTTTTCCTCAGAAGCAGACCCTAAGACAAGGATTTGACACACAGTAAGCATTTACATATGCAAATAAAATTAATTTTGAGAGAAAAATCTAAATTCAGTACCTGTAGTGCCAGGTAGTTTTAATTTATATGCCATTTATGTTTGTTTTCTGATGATTCCTTCTTTCCTCTCCACTGGCAGGCCTGGCCTTTGCAAACACTATTTCCCAAACTTCCCTGTCAGTCATTTCCAGAGATGTTCAGCCACTAAGAGGCACTGGCACTAAAAGAAAGAAGCCAGGGTGTTTCTCTCCCTTTCTCTTCTTGGGAGGATGGGATGCATCTCTAGCAGTGAGTGGCTGCTTCTCCTCAGTGGCCCCAGCTCCCGCCAGCTAGGCCTTCCTCCGCAGCTGCCCCCAAACCCCCCTTCCTAGACTGCAGAGGCTCCCACTCCCAGCAAGTGGCCCACGTTCCTGGGCTTCAGTAGGGACACATCCTTCCTTTCTCTCTCCATTCCCCAGGGTGCAGCTCCTGCCGGCAGTTACTAATCTTTCTTCGTCTTCCCCTATTTTAGCTTTTCTAACCTCTGGGCATTCTTTCCTGTATTAAATTCCTTCTAGTGGTTTCATTTTTCTGGCTGGCCCCTGGTAGATAACCTATTTCAGGAGCCTTGTACAAAATCATGGTTAATCTGAACCCTGGTTCCTAAAGGAGATA